TAAGTTCTTAGACCACATTCATTCTGTGTCAGAAACCTATGCTGTGTCAAATATTTAATCACAATCCAAATTCAGAGCTGTATCAAGCTTGAATGTTGTGTCCATACTTGCCCCAACTGTTCAGGGTTCGACCTCTGCGGTCGTATAAAGCTGCGCCCTGCGGAGCATTTTATTGAGTAATAAAATTTTCAAATTCTATAACCAATCCAGTCAGTGTCATTAGCCAAAATGTTGAGAAAATGGATGAGGGGTTCAAAGTAATGATTTTACCGAAAATCTGTACATCCCATATCAATTTTTCTTTTCAAAATTCTTAGATATGTATTTTTTCAATCATTTATAACAAAGAAGTTGAATTAATATGCTTTTGTTCTAAAAAAGAGAAAAATCCCAAATTTACAAAATTGACAGCATGCATGGTCAATTGACACAAAAAAAGCAACAAAATTTTATAAAACTTTCTAATATTAACACCAACCTATAGTTTTTTAAAGGACCCCAAAAAAAATTTGCAGTTGTATATTGGTATGACGTTGGCGTCGTCGTCATCGTCGTCCAGCATTGTCGTCGTCCGAGACACATTGGTTTTCGCACTCTAACTTTAGTTTGAGTGAATGGATCTCTATGAAATTTTACCATAAGGTTCAATACCACAAAAGGAAGGTTGGGAGTGATTTTGGGGGTTATGGTACCAACAGTTAAGGAATTAGGGGCCAATAAAGGGCCAAAAATAAGCATTTTTGTAACTTCCAGACATAACTTGTGTGTTAGTGTATGGATCTCTCTGACATTGTACCACAAGGTTCCATATCACAAAGGGAATGCTGAGATTGATTTTGGGAGTAATTGCCTCAAAATTTTAGGAATTAGGGGCCAAAAAAGGGGCAAAAAACAAGCATTTTTCTAGTTTCATGACAATAACTTGTGTGTTAGTGAATGGATCTCTCTGAAATTGTACTGCAAGGTACCATACCACAAATGGAAGGCTGGTATTGATTTTGGGGGTAATTGCCTCAAACTTTTAGGAATTAGGGGCAAAAAAGGGGCAAAAAACAAGCATTTTTCTAGTTTCAGGACAATAACTTGTGTGTACATTTTTTTTTGTAAGTGTATGGATCTTTATGAAATTGTACTACAAGGTTCCATATCACAAAGGGAAAGCTGGAATTGAGTTTGGGGATAATTGCCTAAAATGTTTAGGAATAAGGGGCCAAAAAGGGACCAAAAATAAGCATTTTTCTAGTTTCCAGAGAATAACTTGTGTTCAAGTGTATGGATCTCTCTGAAATTGTACTGCAAGGTACCATACCACAAAGGGAAGGCTGGGATTGATTTTGGGGGTAATTGCCTCAAAATTGTAGGAATTAGGGGCCAAAAAGGGACAAAAAACAAGCATTTTTCTAGTTTCTGGACAATAACTTGAGTGTAAGTGTATGGATCTTTATGAAATTGTACTACAAGGTTCCATATCACAAAGGGAAAGCTGGGTTTGAGTTTGGGGGTAATTGCTCTAAACGTTTAGTAATTTGAGGCCAAAAAGGGGCCAAAAACAAGCATTTTTCTTAAAAGTTTCCAGACAATAACTTGTGTTCAAGTGTATTGGATCTCTCTGAAATTGTACTGCAAGGTACCATACCACAAAGGGAAGGCTGGGATTGAGTTTGGGGGTGATGAATCATAAGGGGGTTCAAAAAATTGGGGGGGGGGAGATTTTTTTCCCCCTTTTTTTTTTAAATTTTCCATTTTAAATTGGTTATTTCTGATTTATATATAAAAGCAAATAATAATGATATGGTTTGAATAGGTAATTTTTAAGTTCTTAGACCACATTTATTCTGTGTCAGAAACCTATGCTGTGTCAAATATTTAATCACAATCCAAATTCAGTGCTGTATCAAGCTTGAATGTTGTGTCCATACTTGCCCCAACTGTTCAGGGTTTGTCCTCTGCGGTCGTATCAAGCTGCGCCCAGCAGAGCATTTTATTTTAAGTTAAATTTATTCAGATTGGTCCACTTCATCTTTAGTGTAAGTATGAAAAAAAGTTTAATTGTGAAACTGATTTTTTTCATGATAATAGCCCAAAAATGGGTAAAAATTGATGAAAAATGGGAATATCATCAAAAATGGGGTATTTTCAAATGGCCGTTACCAAAAAGGAAGTGCACCACCATATGATTTTTACTTCATCAAGTACTTTTTATACGACCGCAAAAATTAAAAATTTTTTGGTCGTATATTGGTATGACGTTGACGTCGTCGTTGTCGTCTTCGTCGTCATCGTCGTCTGGCGTCGTCCGGCGTCGTCCGAAGACACATTGGTTTTTGCACTCTAACTTTAGTTTAAGTGAATGGATCTCCATGAAATTTTACCATAAGGTTCAATACCACAAAAGGAAGGTTGGGATTGATTTTGGGGGTTATGGTACCAACAGTTAAGAAATTAGGGGCCAAAAAGGGGCCAAAAATAAGCATTTTTGTAACTTCCAGACATAACTTGTGTGTTAGTGTATGGATCTCTCTGACATTATACCACAAGGTTCCATATCACAAAGGGAATGCTGGGAGTGATTTTGGGGGTAATTGCCTCAAAATTTAAGGAATAAGGGGCCAAAAAAGGGGCAAAAAACAAGCATTTTTCTAGTTTCATGATAATTACTTGTGTGTAAGTGTATGGATCTTTCTGAAATTGAACTACAAGGTTCCATATCACAAAGAGAAAGCTGGAATTGAGTTTGGGGGTAATTGCCCAAAACGTTTAGGAATAAGGGGCCAAAAAGGGGCCAAAAATAGCATTTTTCTAGTTTCCAGACAATTACTTGTGTTCAAGTGTATGGATCTCTCCGAAATTGTACTGCAAGGTATCATACCACAAAGGGAAGGCTGGGATTGATTTTGGGGGTAATTGCCTCAAAATTTTAGGAATTAGGGGCCAAAAAGGGGAAAAAAACAAGCATTTTTCTAGTTTCAGGACAATAACTTGTGTTCAAGTGTATGGATCTCTCTGAAATTGTACTGCAAGGTACCATACCACAACGGGAAGGTTGGGATTGAGTTTGGGGGTGATGAATCATAAGGGGTTTCAAAAAATTTGGGGGGGGGGGGATTTTTTATTTTCCTTTTTTTTCTTTTATCCTTTTTTTTCCTTTTAAAATTTTCCATTTTAAGTTGGTTATTTCTGATTTATATTTAAAAGCAAATAATAATGATATGGTAGGAGATACACACCAAACAGGATGTGTAAATTATTATATAATAAGTATTGTGCAATAGCAAGAAATTTTCAATTGCACAGTATTGCACAATAGCAAGAAATCTTCCATTGTACAGTATTGCTCAATAGCAAGAAATATCCAATAGCACAATATTGCGCAATAGCAAGAAATTGTCAATTGTACAGTATTGCACAATAGCAAGAAATATTCAATTGCACAGTATTGTGCAAAAGAAGATACTTCGTATAAATTGCTTATTTCTTGACCAATTTCAATGGGGTTTTATTCTTGAATTCTTGGGGTTCTTTAATATGCTGAATCTAACCGTGTATTAAGTTTTTGGATTTTGGGCCCCGTTTTTAAATTGGTCCACATTGAGGTCCAAAGGGTCCAAAATTGAACTTTGTTTGATTTCATCAAAAATTGAATTATTGGGGTTCTTTGATATGCCGAATCTAACCGTGTATTTAGATTCTTAATTTTTGGTTCCGTTTTCAAATTGGTCTACATTAAGGTCCAAAGGGTCCAAAATTAAACTTAGTTTGATTTTACCAAAAATTGAATTCTTAGGGTTCTTTGATATGCTGAATCTAAACATGTATTTAGATTTTTGATTATGGGCCCAGTTTTCAAGTTGTTCCAAATCGGGGTCCAAAATTAAACTTTGTTTGATTTCAACAAAAATTGAATATATGGGGTTCTTTGATATGCTGAATCTAACCATGTATTTAGATTCTTGATTTTTGGGCCTCGTTATCAACTTTGATCACATTGAGGTCAAAAAGGTCCTAAATTAAACTTTGTTTGATTTCAACAAAAATTGAATATATGGGGTTCTTTGATATGCTGAATCTAACCATGTATTTAGATTTTGGATATTGGACCATAATAGGTGAATGTCCAATTTAAAATTTTTAATTTCTTAGACCACATTCATTCTGTGTCAGTAACCTATGCTGTGTCAAATATTTAATCACAATCCAAATTCAGAGCTGTATCAAGCTTGAATGTTGTGTCCATACTTGCCCCAACTGTTCAGGGTTCGACCTCTGCGGTCGTATCAAGCTGCGCCCTGCGGAGCATTTTATTTAGTCATATAAACCCAAAAACCAGGTTAAGAAAAAAAGTTTAAAATAATTCTAGAAATTTTTGGCTCCTCGGAGGTGTACATCCTTAAAAGTAAAGTCCATAGATTTCTTACTTGGACAGGTAAAACAAGATACAAGAGACAGGGATAAACTAACATATGATGGTACAATATAGGGGAGTTGTTAACAACTAGATAGTGCAATAAATTTGATTTTAAAAAGGAATGGTAGCTAAAAGTAAAGTCCATACTTGGACAGGTAAGACAAGAGACAGTGATAAACTTATATAGGATGGTAATATTATAGGGCAGTTGTTAACAACTAGATAGTGCAGTAAAATTTGCTTTTAAAAAGGGATGGTAGCTAAAAGTAAAGTCCATAGATTTCTTACTTGGACAAGTAAAACAAGATACAAGAGACAGGGATAAACTTACATATGATGGTACAATATAGGGCAGTTGTTAACAACTAGATAGTGCAATAAATTATTTGTTGTTGTTAACAAAAAAAGCAAGATACCAATGATATAGAGAGATAAATCAAGACAAATTTATTCTAATTCCAACAAGTAAGAAGATTGATTCTGACCTTTACATGTAGATTGCCCGACTTATTTAAAGGTTAGAATAATGAAGGATGATTTAGACAGGTACACAAATATATTTACTGTTTTATTATTTACTTTTCATGTTTTTCAGACAATGTTTACATCACCAACCCAGGCAGTATATACTACACCTGTTCCTGTACCAGAGGATCCAGCAGGCAACATCAAAGACGATTGTAGATTATGGATTGGAAATTTAGATACTAGACTGACAGAGTAAGATATACATAAAAAAAACTAGAAAATTCTCATAGATCTATTCTCAAATTCATGAAAAAATATAATTTATTAACTTTAACCATGTGATTGGATACAATTGTTCCATTTGCATATTAATTATAAGGAGTAATAACTTATGATTAAACTGTAAATTAATATGTGTATATGTAATTAGCTTGCTGTAATATCTTACCAAACTATTATTTAACCAATGAACCCAGTTTATTGTAAAAAATTAACAAGTTATAACCATAAAAAAATTGCAGACTGGAAAAATCTTTCTGATTATGATATTTATTATAATATTAGATTTAGAACAAATTTGCCTGAAGCAATGTATTTTTTTTTACAAGATTTCCATTTCATGTAAACTTAATGTGGTTCAGTTGCCTAATTCAATATTATAAGGATGTTGTTGCCATATACAACTATACCAAAATTATCATTATTAGTGAACTTTGCCTTAAACAACATGTGTCCCCTTGAGTGATATTTTTGTCCTCGAGTGATTTGGGAGGCCAATATAATGACTACCATATATAATATTGCTTTCTCCTTTGTAGCTAGGTTTGAGGGATATTTAAGTAGACAAGAATTTTGGGGGAACAGTTTATGTTGAGGAAAGGTCATACAAAGCACTTTATCTTTTATTATTGTTGCAGAACGAACATACATTACATGGATATCCTTTCAGGTACACATTGTTAAAGCTTCTACAAAAATTTGGGGAATTGAAAAGATTTGATTTTCTTCTTCACAAACTAGGACCAGAAAAAGGAAAACCTAGAGGATATTGTTTTGTTAGTTATGAAAATAGAAAGGTGAGAAATGATAGTTTATGTCCAACAGTGTTCATCTGACCTTGACCTCAATTTTTTAGATCATTGGTAATGTTAAGTTTATGTGATGCATGTAGTAAGACCTTGATATTAAAAATTTTCAACATAAAATCAAATCAGTATTCTTAAAGCAGGACAGACTTTTCAGCATGTGCACTGTTAGATTTCAAGAGTTAAATTTTGCACTATTAAGAGTTAATAACAGGTGCAGATTTAGGAGTTAATAACAGGTGCTGGTCCAGGATTTTGAAAAAGGGGGGTCCTAGCAAGCCAAAGTTTGGAGTGATACTTGGAAAAAGTCAATGCAATTATCACATATGAAACTCGATAAAGGGGTCCCAGGCCCCCTGCCACAGACCCCCTCCCCCCCCCCCCCCCATTTGTAGCCATCACTTGGCATCCATCGTCGTCCTCTGTCGTCGTCGTCCGTCTGGTGTAAACTATTTCAAACTTCTTCTCCTCTGAAACTACTGAACCAATTCCAACCAAACTTCAGCTGAATGATCCTTAGGGTATTTAGAATAAAGATTGTGTTTTATTTTCTGTTTCGTCAAAAACATGGCAGCCATAGCTAAAATTAGAACATAGGGGTAAAATGCAGTTTTTAGCTAATATATCTCAAACACTTAAGCAATTAGAGCAATTCTGATGAGAGGTTAAAATGTTCATTAGGCCAAGCTCTATCAGCCATGAAATTTTCAGACAAATCTAACAGTCCATTGTTGGGTTGCTGCCACTAAATTGGTAATTTTAAGGAATTTTGCAGTTTTTGGTTATTATCTTGAATATTATTAATGATAAAGATAAACTGTGAACAGCAAAAATGTTCAGCAAAGTAAGATCTACAAATAAGTTAATATGACCAAAATTGTCAAATGTGTCCTTAAGGAGTTATTGCCCTTTAAATTCAATTTTTCACAATTTGTTCACCTAGTTTACTTGCTTTAAAAAATCTTCTCCTTTGAAACTGCTGAATCAATTTCAGCCAAACTTGGGCTGAATGAGTTTCAGAGTATCTAGTATAAATTTTGTATTTTATTTTCTTGTACGTCAAGAAACATAGCCACTATGGCTAAAATGGAACATAGGGGTAAAATGTATTTCTTTGCTTTTGAAGAAAATATGACAGATACAAAGAACATCTCAATGGAATTTTTAAGCCACTCATTAATATATATTAAAAAGCAAAAATAATCATTGATGAAAGATTTAAGCAAAAAATTACAGGTGAGTGATTCAGGCTCTTGAGAGCCTCTTGTTTTTTTTTTAAATCCATCTCTGATAATATGGTTATTTTGCTATAATCATTTAAAATGAATAATGCAGATCTAAGATTTCAGGAATTTGTCACAATGTGAGCTTAATATTCAAACACTAAACTGCCTTCACTCATTTGAGATAGTATGGAATTAGTTTGAATATTTTGTTTTATCTCATACTTAAATTTGGGTTTGCTTAAAGATATCATGCACTGGTAAAGAATTATTGATGAGTATTTAAGGGGTGCTTCTCCACCCTCAAATTTTAAGCACCACTCTTTGATTTCCAGCACAATTCTTAATTTCTCAGAACCTATGTTAAATTTTGAGATTTATGAGAGAGAAGTTTGAAAAATAATTCCTAATCAGTATAAATATGTGTTTGAATAATAGTATTGCCAAAAAGGTACAAAATTATACACATTTCTCAACAGCTTAAATCAAAATTTTCTAAGCAACACTCTTGAAAATTTATCAGTGGTTATCCCTGAATATAAAATTATTTCAATGGAAAACTATTCCGATGAGGAACTCATCAATATAGCATTAAGAAATATACATTCAAAATAAATAGAAAATTGACAGCTATAAATTGATGTTATAAAAAATATGGAAATTAACTAAACATGTTTCAGTTAGAACTAGGTATGAAAGAAAATTACAATAGAAATTAGGTCCAACTTTTTGGTAACATGTTCTTTGTTTCTAAACAATTTTAGGATGCTGAGAAGGCAAAGAGGAATATGCATGGTAAACTGGCATTGTCCAAAAAACTGGTAGTAAAGTGGGCACATGCAGAAACGGAGGTAGTTATTTTACTTATACATAAGTGAATTCTATTGTATTATCATGGCTATATTTTCTTCTATTTATGCATTTTATTCTCCTTTTTAGTTCATTTGTCCCAGTGGCCAGTTAAACTTTATTTACCACCTTGAGTCTGTAATTATAATTTATTGCTGCTCTGGCCATCTTTATTGGTATTGGCATCAGCTTGTCAGTTTCAAGGTCAAAGATGGCAGCTTACCTTCCAACCTCTTGAATTTTTCTGTCATGGAATCGTAACAATATAAAAAAGAATAATAATTTAAAACTGCCCCCAAAACAGCAAACTGTATCAGTTGCAAACCTGTTCAAAACATTGTATCAGTTTTGATAAATTCCAGGCTGAAACATCTACTAGTAGTTGGCATCCTTTTTTCAAATTTTGTTTCGTCTTTTGCATCATTCAATATACTTTACTATAGATCAGAGTTAAGTTATCAGATGTAACCACCCTCTTGTAACCCCCCCCCCCCCCTCCCTCCCTCCCCTCTCCATTTTTCTCAGGAGCTGAGTCAAAATTTGGTTTTTAAACGACCACAAAAATTGTATATTGGTATGACACAGGCGGTGTCGTCGTCGTTATCCGAAGACACATTGGTTTTTCGCACAATAACTTTGTTTTAAGTGCATAGTTCTATGAAATTTTACAATAAGGTTTAATACCACAAAAGGAAGGTAGGGATTGATTTTGGGGGTTATGGTACCAACAGTTAAGGAATTAGTGGCCAAAAAAGGGCCAAAAATAACCATTTTTGTTACTTCCAGACAATAACTTGTGTGTTAGTGTATGGATCTCTCTGACATTGTACCATAAGGTTCCATATCACAAAAGGAATGCTGGTATTGATTTTAGGGGTAATTGCCCCAAAATTTTAGGAATTAGGGGCCAAAAAAAGGGGCAAAAAAACAAGCATTTTTCTAGTTTCATGACAATAACTTGTGTATAAGTGTATGGATATTTCTGAAATTGTACTACAAGGTTCCATATCACAAAGGGAAAGCTGGAATTGAGTTTGGGGGTAATTGCCCGAAACGTTTAGGGAAATGGGGCCAAAAAGGGGCCAAAAATAAGCATTTTTCTAGTTTCCAGACAATAACTTGTGTTCAAGTGTATGGATTTCTCTGAAATTGTACTGCAAGGTACCATACCACAAAGGGAAGGCTGGGATTGATTTTGGGGGTAACTGCCTTAACATTTTCGGAATTAGGGGCCAAAAAGGGGAAAAAAACAAGCATTTTTCTAGTTTCAGGACAATAACTTGTGTGTAAGTGTATGGATCTTTCTGAAATTGTACTACAAGGTTCCATATCACAAAGGGAAAGCTGGAATTGAGTTTGGGGGTAATTGCTCAAAATGTTTAGGAATTAGGTGCCAAAAAGGGGCCAAAAATAAGCATTTTTCTAGTTTCCAGACAATAACTTGTGGTCAAGTGAATTGATCTCTCTGAAATTGTACTGCAAGGTTCCATATCACAAAGGGAATGCTTTGAGTGATTTTGGGGGTAATTTCCTCAAAATTTTAGGATTTAGGGGCCAAAAAGGGGCTAGAAACAAGCATTTTTGTAGTTTCAGGACAATAACTTATGTGTAAGTGTATGGATCTTTATGAAATTGTACTACAAGGTTCCATATCACAAAGGGAAAGCTGGAATTGAGTTTGGGGGTAATGGCCCTAAAGGTTTAGGAATTTGGGGCCAAAAAGGGGGTTCAAAAAATTGGGGATGGAGGTTCCTTTTTTAGCTCACCTGGCCTGAAGGGCCAAGTGAGCTTTTCTCATCACTTGGCGTCCATCGTCGTTAGCTTTTTACAAAAATCTTCTCCTCTGAAACCACTGGGCCAAATTTAACCAAACTTGGCCACAATCATCATTAGGGTATCTAGTTTAAAAAATGTGTCCGATGACCCCGCCAACCTACCAAGATGGCTGCCATGGCTAAAAATAGAACATAGGGGTAAAATGTAGATTTTGGCTTATATCTCTGAAACCAAAGCATTTAGAGTAAATCTGACATTGGGTAAAACTGATTATCAGGTCAAGATCTATCTGCCCTGAAATTTTCAGACAAATCTGACAACCTGTTGTTGGGTTGCTGCCCCTGAATTAGTAATTTTAAGGAAATTTTGCAGTTTTTATACGACCTCAAAAAAATTTTGTGGTCGTATATTGGTATGACGTTGGCGTCGTCTTCATCATCGTCCGAAGACACATTGGTTTTGGCACTCTAACTTTAGTTTAAGTGAATGGATCTCTATGAAATTTTACCATAAGGTTCAATACCACAAAAGGAAGGTGGGGATTGATTTTGGGGGTTATGGTACCAACAGTTAAGAAATTAGGGGCCAAAAAGGGACCACAAATAAACATTTTTGTAACTTCCAGACATAAGTTGTGTGTTAGTGTATGGATCTCTCTGACATTGTACCACAAGGTTCCATATCACAAAGGGAATGCTGGGATTGATTTTGGGGGTAATTGCCTCCAAATTTTAGGAATTAGGGGCCAAAAAGGGGCAAAAAACAAGCATTTTTCTAGTTTCATGACAATAACGTGTGTAAAAGTGTATGGATCTCTCTGACATTGTACCACAAGGTTCCATATCACAAAGGAAATGCTGGGATTGATTTTGGGGGTAATTGCCTTTAAATTTTAGGAATTAGGGGCCAAAAAGGGGCAAAAACACAAGCATTTTTCTAGTTTCATGACAATAACTTGTGTGTAAGTGTATGGATCTTTATGAAATTGTACTACAAGGTTCCATATCACAAAGGGAAAGCTGGAATTCAGTTTGGGGGTAATTGCCCAAATCGTTTAGGAATAAGGGGCCAAAAATAAGCATTTTTCTAGTTTCCAGACAATAACTTGTGTTCAAGTGCATGGATCTCTCTGAAATTGTACTGCAGGTACCATACCACAAAGGGAAGGCTGGGATTGATTTTGGGGGTAATTGCCTCAAAATTTTAGGAATTAGGGGCCATAAAGGGGCAAAAATAAGCATTTTTCTAGTTTCAGGACAATAACTTGTGTGTAAGTGTATTGATCTTTATGAAATTGTACTACAAGGTTCCATATCACAAAGGGAAAGCTGGGTTTGAGTTTGGGGGTAATTGCCTTAAACGTTTAGGAATTTGGGGCCAAAAAGGGGCCAAAAAACAAGCATTTTTCTAGTTTCCAGACAATAACATGTTCAAGTGTATGGATTTCTCTGAAATTGAACTGCAAGGTACCATACCACAAAGGGAAGGCTGGGATTGAGTTTGGGAGTGATGAATCATAAGGGGGTTCAAAAAATTTGGGGGGGGAGGATTTTTTTTCCCCTTTTTTTTCTTTAAAATTTTCCATTTTAAATTGGTTATTTCTGATTTAAATATAAAAGCAAATAATAATGATATGGTTTCAATAGGAAAAATTAAAATTTTTTAAGTTCTTAGACCACATTCATTCTGTGTCAGAAACCTATGCTGTGTCATATATTTAATTACAATCCAAATTCAGTGCTGTATCAAGTTTAAATGTTGTGTCCATACTTGCCCCAACTGTTCAGGGTTCGACCTCTGCGGTCGTATCAAGCTGCGCCCCAGCGGAGCATTTTATTGGTTATTATCGTGAATATTATTATAGATAGAGATAAACTGTAAACAGCAATAACGTTCAGCAAAGTAAGATCTACAAATAAGTTGTCATGACCAAAATTGTCAGTCGACCCCTTTAGGAGTTATTGCCCTTTATAGTCAATTTTTAACAACTTTTCGTAAAATTTTGTTATCTTTTACAAAAATCTTCTTCTCTGAAACTACTGAGACAAATTTAACCATACTTGGCCATAATTATTATAAGGGTATTTAGTTAAAAAAATTTGTCCGATGAACCCGCCTTCCAACCATCATGGCCGACTTGGTTTAAAATAGAACATAGGGGTAAAATGCAGTTTTTGGTTTATATCTCTGAAACTAAAGCATTTAAAGCAAATCTTACAGGTGACAAAAATGTTCATCAGATTGAGATTTATCTGCCTTGAAATTTTCAGACGAATCCGACAACTCGTTGTTGGGTTGCTGCCCTGAGTTAGTAATTTTACAGAAATTTTGCAGTTTTTTGTAATTATCTTAGATATCATTATAATATCTAATATCTAATACTATTAATTATGATTTTAACCTTATTTTACATGATTTCCAAAGCATCAGTAAATACAGGTGAGCGACACAGGCTCTTGAGAGCCTCTAGTTTTTTTTTCCTGTTTTCCCTCTTTTTTTTTTTCTTTAAAATTTTCCATTTTAAGTTGGTTATTTCCTGATTTATATATAAAAGCAAATAATAATGATATAGTTTGAATAGGTAAATTAAAAAAGTTCTTAGACCACATTCATTCTGTGTCAGAAACCTATGTTGTGTCAAATATTTAATCACAATCAAAATTCAGAGCTGCATGTATCAAGCTTGAATGTTGTGTCCATACTTGCCCCAACTGTTCAGGGTTCGACCTCTGCGGTCGTATCAAGCTGCGCCCAGCGTAGCTTTATTAGCTTAATGTGATCATGCTGTATAAAGTGATGCATTTTCATATTCATTGAGCATCAACTTCCTGTTTATAAAGTCTTATAGTGGGGGTATCATTAGTGAGCATTATGTAAAATCACATCTTGTTCCATTATAAATGTAATTAAAAACAGTGTTTTGAATATTTGTAGTTTAGTTTAATGTCAGAATTTTATCAAATGCATCCACTAGACATAAAAGAAGTCTAACAATGCAGCGCTTAACATATGGTTTAATGCATTGAAGTATTTAATATGATTTTATTTAATCATGAAGGTCATACAAGAAAGCTAAAATCACAATAACATCTGGCTGGTCCTCAATCTTCAGTCTTTGATTTGTTTTCAACAAAGAGACCAAACACTTTCATTTGGCATGTTTATGCCATTTAACAATGAATAGTCACAGATCATTGAGTCATAATGCTGTCTCATTTCATTGAAGATGCCACATGTGTTTTTATATCATACAAAAGTTCTTTTCTCAACTTTGATGTTGTAGTTATATCATATTTTATGTTGTTTTAGCAATCATTGATTTATCCTTTAAATTTTAACACAAAGTCAATATGCACTATTGAAATATCAAAGAAAACTAATCCTTCATGTCTTACTTTAATATCCAGGTATCTCAGTTTGATTTTGGCTTGTTTTCCTTAAGTTTTCCTTAATTTAAAGGTTTTTGTCTCGCTGGCATAGAAAGTCGCGGAAAGCGAGACATAGGGATTGCTTTTCCGGCAACGGCTGAGGCAACGGCTGCGATGACGGCGTCAACAATTGTTAAGTTTTCTGCTTAAGTTTGTTTGATAGGAACAACTTGTGATAGATCAATGATATTTTGTATGAAGTCTCATTATTATCAGTACATATCAGTTTGATGACAATTTTGCGGCCCTGCCCCCTAGGCTATGGTCCAGTGATTATCGAGCCTTCGACTTTAGTCGAAAAAGCGAGACATAGCGATCCTACATTCCGTCGGCGTCGTCGGCGGCAGCGTCCACAAATATTCACTCTGTGGTTAAAGTTTTTGAAATTTTAATAATTTTCTTAAACTATCCTGGATTTCTACCAAACTTGGACAGAAGCTTGTTTATGATCATAAGATAGTATCCAGAAGTAAATTTTTGTTGAGCCTGCGATTAACAGAAAAAGTAGGCGAGACACTGGGTTCCGTGGAACCCTTACGAATTTTTTTTAATTAATAAGCAATTTTGAATGTTAAGTTTTCTGCTTAAGTTAGATTGATAGAAACTACTTGTGATAGATCAATGATATTTTGTATGAAGTTGCATTACTATCAGTAAATATCAGTTTGACGACAATTTTGAGGCCCTGCCCCCTAGGCCATGGTCCAGTGACTTGATTTAATTAGCCATTTTCAATGTTAAGTTTTCTGCTTAAGTAATTTTTGATAGGAACTACTTGTGATAGATCAATGATATTTTGTTTGAAATTGCATTACTATCAGTACATATCAGTTTGACGACAGTTTTGAGGCCCTCCCCCCTAGGCTATGGTCCAATGACTGATTTAATTAGCCATTTTCAATGTTAAGTTTTCTGCTTAAGTTAGTTTGATATGAACTACTTGCGATAGATCAATAATATTTTATACAAAGTTGCATTACTATCAGTACATATCAGTTCGACGACTATTTTAAGGCCCTGCCCCCTAGGTCATGGTCCAGTGACTTTCAATCAATTAACAATTTTCAATGTTAAGTTTTATGATTAAGTTAGTTTGATATGAACTACTTACAATAGACAATATTTTCTATAAAGTTACATTGCTGCTGCACATCTCAGTTTATCAACCATTTTTAGGCCCTACCCACTAGTTGGTACAACGACTTTGAATTAATTAGCAATATTGCTGTCCATCAGATTGTCTTTTTCTGAATTTTATGCTGACAGGCGAGATATATCTCTATGTCAACAGTTAATTAAGATATATCTCTATGTCAACAGTTAATTAAGATAGTTTCAAGTTAAAGGTAAAATCAGTTAAAAATTGTGCAATTATTGGTAACAGAAAGCTTTCCAATACAATTAAATGCAGAAAAAAGTATTATGTTGAATTTTTTTTTCCAATTATGACAAAACATTCTTGAAGCTCTACACAATTGATTGCAAAAGGAAAAGAAAAAGAGGTTCATGCGCTTGATTTTTGGCTAAAAGCAGAATACCTCATTTTTGTAATGCTTTAAAATAGGACTAATGCCTCAAAATAAAACCACATTGTAGTTGCAGCATTTCTACAGTAGACCATAACGTTATATGAATCTCTGACATTTACTAAATATTTATGGTGACAAAAAGAAACCAGTAACTTGAGTTGTTTTTCAAATAGAGCTTTGTGTCCCACAGAAGATTTATGTGCTTCCTTAAACAGCATCTCTGTCTTCCTTTAAAACTGCATTCAAATTCATGTAACCAATTTGGTGGTGTCTGCTTATTTTTCCTGGAAATTCAGATGCATATCATTACAATCAAAAACAAGGTGCTTAATTCGAATGACTTTTTATCTGCCCCAGCTACTGTATGGTATGCCCCTAATTCAATAACATTAGCTAAAGAAGACAAAACACAGCTACATGAAGAACAATATTATATAATATTTTATCAAGGAATTCTTGTAATTACAATAAGTAGGCTAAAAGCATCATCAGTTAACATTGAATTCAGGTCTTCTTATACCCTCTCTTAGAATCTTTCAAGTTTTTAGTTACCGGTACATTTATATACATTGAAATACAAATGTTGAATATGAACTACATGATATACTTCACCACAATTTCATATAATTTTCAGAGTGAACAGCAAGAAATTAAAGTACCATGTGGCATTTCTACTGGCAGGTGAGAAAGCTCTATCTAACATGCCTACCAACAATACCCCAAAAAAATTGGCAAAAATTAAATTGAAACAAATTTTGAAAATCCTTTACAGCCAAATTGCTTCCAAACTTTGGATAAATGACCTATTTAAGGTCTCCTTTAGAAATAAATGTGATAATCAACTACCATTATTAATGAGAAAAGAATGTTTGTGCTTATGCTTAAAGAAAACATTTCTACAAAGGTTGAATTACTGCCAAACTAATGGAAATGATACATTTTAAGATCCTCATTTGGAATTATTGTTTGTAGAAAAGGAGAATTTAGGGGTAGGGTTTTTCTTTATTGTTCTTTCATTTTTTTTAGCTGGTAGTTGCTAAAATATTTCTGTTGTCACTGTGGTGGTTCTTTTAGAATCATGTTGGATTTCCTCACCCAGTTTTTTTCAGAGATAAGCATCCTGTCCAGCTCAGCATTTCAGAATCTTTTGGAGCTCTAAATTTTGTTATTCTTGCAAAATTGTACCTGATGTAAGGAAAGAGTTCAATATGCATATATGTATTACTGTGACTTGATTGTAACTCAAGTTCAAGTGTTGCTCTATACCTATTGCAGTTCATTCAAAATTATGCCCCAATTGCAATTTTTTTTTATCAAACCAAACTGTTCAAATGGTCAGACATTTTAACCACCTGATGTAGAAAACCACAGTTAAGTCATCAAAGTCCAAGGTGGTAAAATTAAGCATACTTACAATCATAAAGTACTTTAAAAGTTAAAAAACTTCAAAGCTTAAAAAAACATGAGTTGAGTTACTTGAGTAAAACAAACTTTTTCCAGACATCATACATTTCTTAAATTATTGTATATTTTTTAGCACTGATAGTCAGATTAGAGCCATAGAAGACAAATTAAGGAAGATGGAAGAATCATCATCAGACTTCACCATCTCTACAAAACCTGTAGCACAACCAGGAAGTAGCCAACTATATCAAATGAACTCTGCCAAACAAGAACAAATCAAGAAGCCCTACAGCCGCAAAAAGTGATCTTATCATGGTATTTTGATGTCTGAAAAAAAATCAATCTTGGTTGCAAAGTTGATGGTATTCTGCCATACTTGGAATTATTCCAGTATCAATGGTCAAAATGATCATTTGTTGTACCAAGGAAGCTGTGTTGTACTGCAAATAACAACAGAAGAAATGTACATCAAAGAGGACTAGAAATCTTGAAACATTAATTGCGAAATATATAGATTGTTTTGTGTTAAATTTCACATAGGAGATTGTTATGCCCCCGCCGTAGCTGAGGGGGCATTAAGTTTTACCCAAAATTGGTTTCCTATCTCTAACTTTAGTTTGCCCCAACCAAATGTTATGAAAGTTAAACTCAATGCTTATTACCACAAAACACAGATCAAGTTTGAATTTTGGTGGCGTCAATTTTACCGTTCTAGAGTTATGCCCCTTTACAAACGGAAAAATTGCTAAATTTTTCGTTTCCGTTCTCTAACTTTTATTTGCCTCAACCAAATGTTATGACACTAGTACACAATGCTTATTACCACAAAACACAGATCAAGAATGAATTTTGGTGGCGTCACATTTACTGTTCTAGAGTTATGCCCTTTACAAATGGAAAAATTGCTAAGTTTTTGGTTACTGTTCTCTAACTTTAGTTTCCCCCAACCAAATGTTATGAAACTTATACACTATGCTTATTACTACAAAACACAGATCAAGTTTGAATTTGGGTAACGTCACTTTTACCCTTTTTTAGTTATGTCCCTTTATCACATTATATGCAAGCGGGGGCATCACGTGTGTCCCATGGACACATTCCCCATTTATTTAGTGTTAAATTTCACATAAGAGATTGTTTTGTGTTAAATTTCACATTTAACGCTATGCATTTTGTTTTATTTTAGATAAAGATTGTAAGATTCTTGTAATCTTACATACTTGAAATCTGTTCTCATTGTTGCCACTCTGTTGAATGGGATCTCCACTATGGTGGCAAAGAGATTACCATTGAGTGTAATGGGGAATCCCATCTGTTCCATATACACTACAAGTAATGTCCAGTCTTTTTAGTCCCCTACCGACGAAGTCGAAGGGGACTTTAGGTTTGCACTCCATCTGTCTGTCCATCTGTCAGTCCGGCAAATCAGTTTTCCAGACTTTTTTTCTTTGTGCTTGAAGATATTGATTTGAAATTTGGTTTATTGATTTATCATGACAAGTTACAGGTCAAGTTCAATTTTCACGATTTAAGCTTTTCTCTTTGTTCAGTTAAAGCCCTTTTCCAAGAATTAAATTTTTGATGAAATACTTATTAATTAGTAGATTTCTGTTCAAAGGGAAATAACTCATTTTTAAAGGCAGTGCTTTAATGCCTTTCTAGTTGCCGGGTTAATCCTTCCTTCCGCGATATCCAACTTATCTACGTGGGGGGTCGTTAGGCTCCAAGTAGATCCGGAAATGTTGAATTCTCTCCTCTTCTTATTGTGATATAAAATGTTTTTTGTTTCATTTCATTTACATTGGAAAATTGAGAAACGATCATTGTGTTTTGCTAGTTTTAAAAACTTTTGATATATTTGTATTTTGCATTATAAGCAGTCAACCGATTGACAAACTAGAATTATTTGAATTCCGTGTGGAAAGAGCTCGGGTTAATTTCGAGTGTTATCTGCAATCTATATGTTTATAAATCATTTCAGTCGTTGATATAATAATTAAAGGTCGACTGAACATGAATTATATTATACAATTTAAAGCGCATTTCTGTTTATGCACGTGAACCCGTCTAACGTTATTGTTATTTCGCAGTTATATAAAGTAGCAAATTATCGTTCCTGAATAGGTGGCGCCGTGGTAGCCGATCCTGTTCCTCAACTTCCGGTTTCTGCACTGTGCAACTATTTCAGTTACATTTTCAATTAACGATGCCAAATACTTGTTGTTGTGTACCTGGATGTCATTTTAGAGGAGGACATGCATTTCCAAATAACTTAAAAAGAAGGTAAAGTTGGATCAACGCCATGGCCCATACGCAGATTGGACGAGAACACGATGAAATCGTGGAGTCCATCTCAATCAGCTGTTGTTTGCAAGGCACATTTTACTGAAAAAGACTACGTGCAGGAAATTATTCATGGTAAAACTCTATTTTCTTTTTGAAATATATAGTTATATATGTAATCGCCATGCGAATAAACCAAAGTCTGTTTACAACCGCAATTATCGTTTTAGAATAAAAGACGGTGGTTAATTCAAGACGTCATAATTTTTTGGATTACGATTCAATGTGATCTGTTTGAGATTTTTTGGTGATTGCTACAATTATAATGATTTCTTACAAGAGGTTTATCATACTGAGAATTATTTTAGCAGTAATTATGCTAATGTAGTAATGACAGGAATGCATAAGCTATGCCTCATAGACTTTCTTGAAAAATATCAATGACAATGTTAACAGGAACAAAACAATGACATGCTCTCATCTATATTATAGTTATTTAGGTACAAACAATGTACGTTTGTTGCATAAGTCTCTCATTGTTTGTCCTTTGGATTTACATAACAAACATTGAATCAGGCAAACATAGTTTTATCCAGATTGTAATGAATAAATCTAGTTAATATTTCGCCATGTAATACAAAGTATACATTGCTAATGGAAGTTCATTTAATTATCAAAAAACTAATGTTTTATAACCTTTTTCAGGGCGCAAACCCACCATTCAGAGACTTAAGTCTACTGCCATTCCCAGCCTATTTTCCTGGACCAAGCAAGAGACTGAATCGTCCGCAAAAAGAAAAATCAGGACAGTTTCCTGTGAAAACAAAAGAACTAAACTTGATGAATATTGTAGTAGAAATCTAGAGGAAAGTTTTGATTGTAAAGTTGGTTTTCCTGAAGAAGTCATTCATACTGCAGAAAGGATTTATGACTGTCCACCACCAACTGCCGAGCTAATGTTGAGCTTCACAGATGGAATTATGCAAACACCATCAATGCCTATGTTTTCAGCAGAGAATTTTGAAATGAAGACACGTGACACAGCCATGCATTTTTATACCGGTTTAGAGTTGTATACTAAATTTTTATTTGTTTTGACCACACTTGGTCCAGCAGCACATTGTTTAAGATACATATATTTTCAAATTGATAGGGTGTCAGTTGAAAATCAGTTTTTTTATGACTTTGATGAAATTGAGGCATTATACAACCAACTTTGAACTTTCTAGATTCTAGATTGAATCTAGTGTTAAGAATATTGTGTATACATGGATTGTTTTTATGTCTAAACAGTGGTGTGAGGCTAACACTTGGCCATCTAGTGGTTTAGTCAGGTATTTTTCACCATCCAACTTCAAATTAAAGTTTCCTACGACTTGGATTATTATTGACAGCACAGAATATCCCGTGATAAAACCTAAAGCTCCTAGAGCTCAGGCAACCTTTTCATCATATAAAAACAGAAACACTGAAAATACTTGTATGTTCGACACCTGGTGGTTTAGTCAACTATGTCTCTAATGCATATGTTGGTTCTACCAGTGACTATGAAATAGTTGAAAGATGTAGAATAGTTCAATTATGTGATCCAGGTGACAGTGTGATGGCAGACAAAGGTTTAAATGTGCAAGATTTGTTTGCTAACTTTTTTCAAAAAAAGAAACAGAATTAGTTCCAAAACTCTTATACGGGATAGAAAAGTCTCCAATTAACATGTGCACATAGAGCGAATTATTGGACTTGGCAAAACATACAAAATTCTAATAAATCCTATGAATGGAACTGAAACAAAACTTTCATCTGAAATAACATTTAGTTGTACTATGTTGTGTAATTTTAGAACTTGTATTGTGCCAAAGGATGCATAAATAAAAGTGACGCAATGAATTTTGTTCTGATATATATATATTTATAATTACATGCACATGTAGATTGTAATGCATATAAAAATAAGGAGATGTGGTATGATATTCAGTGAGTTTATCGAACTAAAGTGCATAAGAAATGGGTTTAAGCAGTTACAGGTGTTACTGTCACCTTACAATCTCCAACAATGAGAAAAACTTGTACCGTGTAAAACATTTCAGAGATCTTACCACTAAGTTTTGTTGTCTCACCTTGACTTTGGTGAATTGTTTATATCTGTTGATGTAAATATAAAAAAGAAGATGTGGTATGATTGCCAATGAGACAACTCTCCACAAGAGACCAAATGACACAGAAATTAACAGCTATAGGTCACAGTACGGCCTTCAACAATGAACAAAGCCCATACCGCACAGTCAGAGCTCTATAAAACGCCCCGAAATGACAATGTAAAACAATTTAAACAAGAAAACTAACGGCCTAATTTATGTACAAAAAATGAACGAATATAACAAATATGCAACACAAAAACAAACAACAACCACTGAATTACAGGCTCCTGACGTGGGACAGGCACATACATGTGCATACAGAATGTGTCGGGGTTAAACATGTTAGCGGGATACCAACCCTCCCCCTAACCTAGGACAGTGGTGTAACAGTACAATATAAGAACGAGCTATAAAAATCAGTTGAAAGAGGCTTAACTCATCAGATGGATAAATACAAATACAAGTGGACGTGGTCGGGTAGTTGTACATCCAAACAACAAAAAGACACTAAGTACAGATCTGAGAGTACTCAAAGTTACTGACAGCTAGTTCAAAGCCACTAACAACTGATAAAAAAATCTTGCATCTAAGACTAAATTATCAATCGGTAAGCTCCCTTTAGAATTTTATAAATTTTAGATTTTAAATTTCTGAGTTATGGTGTTTTATTCATTAAAAAAGGGGGGATTTTCCAGTTTTTGTCGCGCCTGCGACTTTTGTCGCAGATAGCTCGACATAGGGATAGGGATGTGGCGGCAGCGTTAGCTAACTTCTTAAAAGCTTTATATTTTAGAAGGTGGAAGACCTGGATGCTTCATACTTTGTATATGGATGCCTCATGTTACGAAGTTTCCGTCAGCCACATGTCCAATGTCCTTGACCTCATTTTCATGGTTCAGTGACTACTTGAAAAAAAAGTTAACATTTTTTGTAATGTTAAATTCTGTCTTATTATAAGTAGTAGGATAACTATATTTGGTATGTGCGTACCTTGCAAGGGTCTCATGCCCGTCAGACAGTTTTCACTTGACCTCGACCTCATTTCATGGATCAGTGAACAAGGTTAAGTTTTGGTGGTCAAGTCCATATCTCAGATACCTTGACCTCATTTTCATGGTTCAGTGGTTATAGTTAAGTTTTTGTGTTTTGGTCTGTTTTTCTTATACTGTATGCAATAGGTCTACTATATTTGGTGTATGGAATGATTGTAAGGTGTACATGTCTAGCTGGCAGGTCTCATTTGACCTTGACCTCATTTTCATGGTTCAGTGGTCAAAGTTAAGATTTTGAGTTTTGGTCTTTTTTTCTAATACTATATGCAATAGGTCAACTATATTTGGTGTATGGAAATATTTTATGATCTATATGTCAGTTGCGCAGGTTTTATTTGACCTTGACCTCATTTTCACAGTTCATTGCTCAGTGTTTAGTTTTTGTGTTTTGGTCTGTTTTTCTTAAACTATAAGCAATAGGTCAACTATATTTGTTGTATGGAAGAATTGTTAGCTGTACATGCCTGCCTAGCATGGTTCATCTGACCTTGACCTCATTTTCATGGTTCATTGGTCAATGTTTAGTTTTCTTGGTTAATGTTAAGTTTATGTGACAGTTGTAATAAAGCTTTATATTAAGGACTATCAACATAATATCAGTGATTAGTAAAGAAGGTGAGACATTTCAGCGTGTTCACTCTTGTTGGACAACAACTCAAAAATGCTTTAAGCAGTTCGCATGAAACTTTGGTGAATTATTTATAGCTATTGATGTAATCTCCCTATAGATTTTCATAAATTTCAAATATGACA